TATAGTACTCCTCCGGTCCTTATTATAAGACCCAATTTGACTTTTTATTTGGTCCTAATTATAAGACCCAATCCATTTTCTCTCTTATATTTATGCATTTTTTTCCAAGATAATCCTTCTAATAATGATAATTTTAGCCAATATACTTAATTAGCAAGAATATTTTAGGAATAACAACACTTATTTATTATAAATAACCAACTTAACTTACTCCCTTAATCTCCTCAAATAAGTCAATTGGGTCTTATAATTAGGACCGGAGGAGTAATATGTTATATTACAGAGGTGTTTGCCATTACTAACCTGGGGTCGGGTGGAGACTGAAGAACAACACGTAATTGATTGATTAATATTGGGCATTCAGTGTTATCGAGGGATCTCTTTTATGATTGCCGTATCTGATCATTTCAGTATCTAGTCAAGGTGACTTTGTTTAATTATTATATATATGTACATATGGTGGTAAAAATAATTATTTTTATTGTTATATATTATCTCAGATCTTAATTATAAGACATTGTTTGGAGATTACAAACAAAGTCTTATAATTAGAACTAGAAGTAGTATACTGTAAATGGCTAGGATCAGTTGAAGCAAGCACTTGCATGGTTAGGTTAACCGTGGGAATTTTTTTCTTGAAGCGTGAATATATCTGAAAGTTTTATTTTTAGTTTAATGTCGCCTTGAAGTGTAAAAAAAGATTAATATTGTAATTTTATTTATAAAAACAAACATCAACTCTTAAAATTTTTTGAAGAAACGGTAACATCACTGCTTTTTTAAAACATGTTTGGGACCATATTCAGCTGAAAATTATTTAAATACTCATAAGTTTTTCACAAGTACTTTTCAAACAAAAACAATCCTCTGATGCCTTGCATATGTGTTGTATATATACTACATCTAATCTTCCTAAATATACGATCTCAATTCATTTTGTCTCTCATATTTATATTTTTTTAAAAAATAATTCTTGTAGTTACACATATTAAAAATTTTATGAAATGATAAGTATAACTAGTACACGTAATTAACAAGGTATTTTCAGAAAGACAACACATAATTATTACAATGAATTAATTTAACAAACTTTCTTAATATACTCAAATCAATCAACTAAATTTTATATTAAGGAATATATATATATATATATATATATATATATATATATAAGATGAAGAGTCGTGGCAAAAGGAGGGTGCCTTTGAAATATTAAAAGCTCTGGGTTATATGACTAAAATTACCACATTCGAAGGTGTGCCTGAATTTTCCAGTTTAATTTGTGCGTCAGTTAAGCCAACGTCATGTGTGGGCCACTCAACTCTCTCCTTTGCCCCTTCCCAACACAATACGTACTGCTTGCTTGGCCTTGGATTCCATACTGTACTTACTCCCTCCTAGCAACACCACATGTTATATTTATTTATTACATATCTCTCACATCATCATCATCATTATTATTTACTATTAATTTGCTTTCAAAATAATACTACCACTAGCTTTAAATGATAATAAAATTAGAAGTTTATTCAATTTTTAAATGCAATTATTAACTTTCAAGTTTCCTCTTAATTTCAATAATATTACATCGATCATTAATATAAGAGCTAGTTAGAGATTTAATTTGATTCTAAGTATAAGATTACAGTCCATTATGTATTCAGCATTTATCTATTTTGTTCTCAAGTAATTCTTATATTAATTGCACATGTTAAGGAGTTACTATCAAAAGGTAATTCAAAAACACATGGGTATCATAGGAAAAAAATATTTATTTAACACAAATAACTAATTTTATTTATTTATTTGATATTCATAAATTAGTTATTTAGCTCTATAGTAATACTCCACTAGTCCTAAATATAAGACCCTTATACACTATAAGGGTCTTATATTTAGGACCGGAGGAGTATTGTATTTTTGTCACAGTCTAATCCATATAGTCGTTAAAACATATATGTAAAGAGTGGATATTCATTTCAAACTCTAGGCAATGCATGCATTGATATAGATATAATTAATCTAAATTTTAAGTAATAAACTAAACACACACATATTATTGTAATTTGTTTTTTTTAACATTTTAGTTAACTGTTCATCTCGAAACCACTTATTTATTTATAGTATTAATTATGAGAGCCTTTTTTTCATCTCTTATTTCTCCTAAATTATTTGATTTCAACTACCCTTTAATTTTTATTGGAAGTTCTAAACGAGACAGCCGGTAATTATGTTATTGAAATTATCCAACAAATAATCACTCTGGCCAAAAAAAAAAGAAAAGAAAACTTGGAATGCATGTTTTGAATGTGATTGAGATTGAGAATGAACACACACACACGGGACCATTTATTAGGTTCTGTTTGGTTCTGGGTTCTTTTTCTTTCTTTCTTCCTTCTTCTATTTTTTTTTTATTTTTGCTTTTATATAATATACATATAATGTGTGGTTCTGCGAATCTGGGTCTAATAAATATACACGTGTTCATCAGCATTACCAAACACGAATATATAACAGCATGTATATATGTGTGTGTGTATTTGTACGTGTGTATCTATGCATGATTTAGGTTGGAATTATCATATCAAGTTTTTGGAAACCATGTAAAAAAAAAATTATATCGGACAATGCAAAATCGCTTAAAATAAATTAATCCAAATACTTTAGACTCGATTAGGCAGAGGAGGCTTTCTATATTTCACAATATTAAGAAATAGAGGGAGGATGCTGCATCTGCTTATACGGCACCCAATATACCCCTTTTATATGATTCAATTAATCCTTTCTAGAATATTCTATGGGGTTGGTATATCCATGATTAAACTATATTATTAAATTTACTCTAAAGCCCTAGCTGCTCATTCATAAAAATATTACTTTTGAAATTATATCCTGATTATAGTTTTGGTTCACATTTTTTTATCTAATTATAATATTATTTTCATAATCTTAAAAATCATTCATTTACAACCTGTCAACTTATAGACTTGTATATTAGTTATCCATGATCACGTTTTGTTAAATTTTGGCAACGTGATCGCGTGTTAATTTATTATTTTAAATGTACATGGTTTGAACAGACAGATAACCAAAAAAAAAAAAAAAAACGAAGAAATGTAATTCCCCATAGACACAGACGCAACATGCTGCACACAATATGTTAAGACATTATCTCAATGAATTGGTTGAAAATATATGCGCGCCCGCACACATATATAGACACATTCTACTAATCCTATTTATAAGACACTTTTAATATGTTTTACATAGATTAAGAAAAACTTTAAATTGTATTAACTTTTCATTAAAATATGACAACTTTTCAACTTTGCCTCTCTTTAATATATACTCCTTAAAAAAAAACCCATCTACACCATAATAGATGAAGAACAATATAATATATTCATAATAAAAATTTAATGAAGTGACTTATAAATAGAACCAAGAAAATTTCTCTCTCTGCCCTATAAATAGGACTAAAGGAGTATATATGAAGATTACCATCGCATTAATGCTCGAAATCCGATATATTTTTTTTTTACTTCTTTTTTATTGGCTCCTTGTTATTATTGCATCTGTTAAAACGATAGGTAGTTCATCGAGGACGTTAACGTTGATCAAATGATGAGTTTGGATTTTGAAGTACTTCCTCTATATTTATATATTAGTTTCAAATAACCGAATCACATTTAACGAATTAATAGTTAAAATTAGTTAAAAATAATAAATAAGTTAGAAATTTTTTTTTCTAAATTTGTCCTTATTTATTAAGAGAGTAAATGAAAGGCAATAAATGAAAAAAAATGATGAAAGTGAATATATAGAGGTAATATTAACAAGAGAAAGAGAGAGTACTAAATACAATCAATTAACGACAAAATAGGAAAAAAAGTAATAAATATTTAGACAAACTCAAAAATAAAACTTATATTTTGGACCAGACCTATCTTTAAAAATGAAACTTATATATAGGACTGAAAGGAGTATCTCTTAAACGACAAATACATAGCATGTTCGATCAATTATGAGAGGAGGGTCAGGTTTATAACTTCCAATGGACATAATTAGGATTTCGTCATTGTAACTTGGGGAACATATATATAATTATATAAATTCATTTATTAACAATTACGACGTCGTTACAACTTGCAATATTTTATTGTCCATGTAGTATTAAATAAAGGGATGGAATTATGAATATCATCACTCGCATATACGATTTATTAGATGGTCGGCCACAAAGTTTTCAAATTCTTAAAAATTTCGCTTTGGGATTGAAGAGAGGGGAATTATTTGACGGTGCATAACTGCATATTTTCTGAGCAGTGATGACCACAAACAGGATAACATTTTAATTTTGGTAATTAATAATACATCAGAACTCCAACAACTCTGGGCTTTTATAATCAATTTAGCCGACATTATTTATAACATCTCTTTATTATGAAAATGGAAAAATAAAACCCCATTTTCAAAGTAGAAAAAAAAAAGAGACGAGAAACAGACTCCCTTTTTTTTCTGATCAAAATAACCACTATTATTTTCATAGACTTAATTCAGATCTGAGGACACAACACTATTATTTAATCCATGTTAAAGATAATTTCATGGAGAACTTTAGAACGATTTCCTGGTTCATATTATTACTTCTTTCCGAAACGGTACTCAACTGTATCTTTCGATATTGAAAAGAATATGTAACAAATGTGAGAGTTTTAAACTAATTAGTTACTATTCTCTCTGTTCTCAATCTTCTCATCAACCCAAATATTTTTTTGAAAAGATGAAATTTGGATCCAAGAAAAATGGTTAAATTAATTTCTTCTCCACTGCTGCTAGGTAGCAGAAATATAATTGCATGGGGAAAAAAGAGAAGAAATTGCATAACTAGCTAGTATTCTCAGATCACCTCCAAAAAGAAGTCACCAAATATTCACAGGAAAATTCAGTTTCTAACTAGATAAAATTACAATTATTTGGCCGCATGGCACATGCATACATACATACATATATATAGCAGGTTATGGAAGTGTTGTAATGTACGCTACAATTTGTTTCCCAGAGCAAGAAGATGACTATTATATCTTCATAGTCATGAGAGAAAGCTTAGAAACCAAAGCAGAACAAGACTCTCTAGCTAGCTAGTTATTATATAGAACCCAGAAAAAGAAAACAAAGAAACCTCTATTTAAAAACTAGCTGGTTTGATACAAATTAACTATGTAAGAAACTCTTACATACAGACTTTTTTAATTTGTACGAAAGCAAGAACAATGAGACTGTAAAAATCTCCCAATCAAAAGGCCCTCTCATGTTGAAAGATTAGTAAATTTTTACTGTCTCATTGAACACAGGCCGGCCAGCAGGTAAATTATTGATGATATGGCAGTTTAGTCCAGCTAGAATTTGTCCTTGGCCTGAAATAGGTCTGATGTAGTTTCCTGAAGTGACATGGTCAACAGATCGTCGTGTCCTTGTGGAGCTGCGACATCATCAAAGAGCCAATTCTCCAGAAGCGTGAAAGGCACGTGAGAATCCAAACTTGGCTTGCTTTCTTCTTGCTGTAAGAGGCTATTGCTCTCTGTGGACACATCAGAAGAGTTGTTATTATTATTGTTCATGTTGTTATTATTGGAGGAGGAGTTATTGAAGCTCAAGAGAGAGCTATAGTCCAGGCCTTGATCTGGCGTTGTAGTCCCGCTCCCGCTCTGTGCTCCTTCGCTCGACATCGAACCAGAGACCGAGTTTGGCGTCTTCTTCATCCAGTTTTGCAGAAGTCGAGCTATATTATCCGCACTCGACGCGTACGATGACGATGAAGGTGCTGTCTGTGTTTGGTCGGGTAGTTTTGTGGTGGTGGTGATGGGGTTGAAGGAGGAAATAATGGAGGTCTTGTTATTATAATGAGTGGGAGAGATGGGGAAATTATGAGTGGTTAATGAAGGAGAGGGCTTGTCAATGGAGAGAGCTTCGCACAAGGCTTGTTTGGCCAGGTGGATATCGGTCTGAAGTCTTCTTTCCCACTGGCCCTTGTTTGGTTGTGAAGATGATGACGACAAGTATCCACCGTCTTCCTGATCGTTGTTACTGCCACCTTCCATGGCGCCACCATTTTCTCCTTTCTTCATCATCAGCTTCTTCTTCAGATGCGTGTTCCAGTAATTCTTTATGTCATTGTCTGTTCTCTGTGGGAGGTAAGAAGCTATGGCCGCCCACCTGCACTCATTTTACGTAACAAACACACGCCTCATCTCTACCGGATTCAACCGCTTAAAACAGATAAATTAACAACCTTTTCTCAATTCTTCAATGTCCTCGTCCTTGACAAACTTCAGAATTTACACTAGATATAGAGTACAGACACAATATGTATAGATATATACCTATTTCCGAGAAGAGCTTGAAGGTGGATGATCATCTTCTCTTCATGTTCCGTGAAGTTACCGCGTTTGATGCCTGGGCGAAGATAGTTGGTCCATCTCAGTCGGCAGCTTTTGCTGCATCTCATCAAACCTTTCACAAAGAAATTAAAGAAAATCGAAATTAAGGAATCAATGTCGATAATCAAACCTAGAAAACCCAGAGAGAGAGCGGCAAGTGAAATTGATGAGATTGGAGATAACTGGAGTTACCGGTATTGGTGGGAACTGATCTCCAATTGCCAGGACCGTGTTCTTGGATGTAGGAGACCAAGACGATGTCTTCTTCAGGAGTCCAAGGTCCTTTCTTAACCCCAATTTTGTCACAGCAGGGAGGTCTCCCCATTACGGTCTCTCTCTTTCTTCTCAACAAGAAAGGAAGGAAGAAGTAGGCAGAGAGATCTTTAAAGACACACAAGCTCTCTCTTCCTCTTTCTCTCTTTCTGTCTTTCTCTCTCTTGGGTTTCCTTCTTCTGAGGAATCCAGTGACAAGCGTCCACAGTTGAAGGTGCCTTGTATATATACACACAAAACACACACATATATTCCTTTTATTCTATTTATAAGTCACTTTCAACATGTTTTATACAGACTAAAAAAAATTCTAAATTTCATTAATTCTCATTTAAAATTCAACGATTTTTTATTTTTATTCTTATTTAATATAACATTATACCTCCTATAAACAAAATTAATACAATAATAAATTAAGAATAAAATTGTGCGTCCATACAAAAATTTTCTTTTAGTTCTTTATAAATAGAATCACAAAATGTCTTCTCTTTCTGCTCTATAAACAAGACGAGGAGAGTACACACGAATAAAGAAGAGAAAAATTAAAGAGGCTGTTTCGCGACTGAGCAGTAACTAGTCTCTGATCTCTATCTCTATCTATATCTCTTGAAAAGTAATGCTCACAAAACTGCATTTACTCATGCGTTGCACAGAGAGAGCAACTAGCCTCTAATCTCTATCTCCAAAAAGTTGCCCACTGTAGACGGAAAGAGAGGCATTACTTCATAGGTGATTAATAATGCGGTGAACGTTGGTTTGACTGTTGTTTTCGAAAATTGCTAAAGGCAATATGAACGCACAAGCTGACCTTGTGTGTAATTAGGTGATTAATAATTTATTGACTAAGTGTTTTTTTTTTTTTGTCCTTTTAAGCAATTTTCTCTCTAATAACAACACCTGACCTCGTGATATGCGCGTGATAATGACGTGGCTTGGAAGTTTTCATTAAGGTACGCCTTTCCCATGCACATCACACGCCCACCATCCACAAATTCAATCCCTCGTGTCGGTCACTAAATTGACATTCATAATTATACTACTATTAAATTACGTAAATTAGTGCTTCTATTTCTCTTCTTTCTACAAAATACTCGTATTCAGTATTCTAATTTTAACATTAATTTTTCAATTTAACATAATTTGAATTAATTAAGTTAATAATGCTTTCATTCGTATTGTTATGTATAAAATTAAACAGACTTAATTTTCTCTCATTTTGACTTAAGGGAAAATAATGTCACAGAAAATTTTCTATAGACCGTAGCTAAGAAAATTAAACATAAAAAGGTCTAAAATTTTTTTTATAAGTTTAACTTGTAAATATGAAAGTTTGACTCGTTGATCTAAATTGTTAAATTTGACTTATAGATATGCACATTTGACTTGTCTATATAAAATTTTCCTGTATTTAATTTCTTACCTAGAACATATGATTTTTTTTTTAAATAAGAAGACTTACAAACATGATGCATCTCTAGAAAGATACTCCCTCCCGTCCTAACTACTAAATATGAGTTAGATAAGATGTTTGCTTTAATTTTAACTATAAGATATTAATTCATTTTGTCTTTCAAATTTATAATAATTTCATATCCTATTTACATTAAAGTGTAGTTTTTATACATATAATTAAAGATGATATTTTGTAGAAGTGCACACATATTTATTATAAATAATTAATTTATTGATTAATTTTTTTAATACCTATAAATCAGCTATCTAATTTTTACATTAAGAAGTAGTAATATAATATTTAATTAATCTAATATAATTTTGTATTGACAATGTTTTTTAGATTACAATAATTATTCTCTAACAAAAGAAATGGTGATTACAGATTTTGCATAAAATTATGATAGATTATCCAAAGTCTTTAAATTTTTTAACATTACATGAATTTTTTTATTTCTAAATATGATATAAATTTCTCATAAAATAAAAAAAATTACATAAATTTTCTTTGAAAAAATTAAAATGTGTATATAATAAATTATATAATATTCTAAATTTTAATAAATTTATATAAATTTTATTTTAAAATTAAATTCTTTGATGGTTTTAAAAAATAAAATTTTATTTTTTAATTGAATGAACAACATTTTTGTATTTTTTAAATTAATTTTTATCTAGGTTGTAAATTTTCAGAGAAATCAGGTTTAATTTAGTAAATTTTATTAATTCATATTAGTTTTAAAAATAAAATGTAGGAGAAAATATAGGAGATTTGGATGGGACAATATGATATTTTTAAATTTATATTTGAATATTTGGTCATTTTAAATAATTTTAATTTTTATGATCCTTTCTCATAAATATCATTCCCTATTGGTCTTTATCTCTGATTCTCCTTTTATCTTTTGGTAAGCATGCCCTCATACACAAGATAAGCTTTGTTACAAACGATATATAGGAAGGTTCTCCCAACATTAAAAATCATAGCTCAATCAAAGCTAGCAACAAGCTTGAGGATAGAAAAAATCAAGTTAAAAAAAAAGAAGCAAAAAGACAAAACAGCGAGGTTAAGTAAAGATAATGAAGAGAAAATGACGGGGGGAGGGGGTTAGTTCCAAAGATAGGCCCATATTGTTCCTTCATTTTCGGGTTTTGGGACCATCCCCAATGGTCAAGAACAAGGGCATGGAGTCCTACCCATTTAATGGCCTCACATTAATCACCCATTATAATTTATACTATTATATAATTAAGTTTTATTCTTACAAAACCCCAAATTAATTCCACTTCCCCATAAAATATGTTTTATTATTACATATCAACTGCAGATACATGCTTAAGCCCATCAAAAATTCCCATCCTTCTCCTCTCTCTCTAGCTATTTATTGCTATTGGAGTAAAATTTTGTTTTAGATAAAATACTCCTTCGATTCTAAATATTCGCCATCTGTTTATTTTTTTAATAATATAATTAAACAGCATGCCGCAAGTATGTTAACATCACCCTCAAATCTAAGACTTCATCCAAACGTAACAGGTAGTATTGTGTTTCGTTGGCAAAATAAATCTATCCAGTTCTTAATATAATACTATATCTGATTCTTAATATAAGTGCTCGTTTGATTTTTATTTTGGTCATAAATATAAAACCCCAATTCATTTCGTTTCTTACATTTATTCTTTTTTTTCCAAGATAGTCCTTATAATAATAATAGTTTTAATCAATACACTTGATTAATAAGGATATTTTAGGAAAAACAACACCTATTTGATACAAATAACTAACTTAACTATTTTCTTAATTTATTTAAATTTAAATTAACCAACTAATTCTTATATTAAGTATTATAATAGTTAATTATCTATAGTTAAATTCTGCTTGTCCTCCTCTCCGTTCCTTGGGCACTCCGAGCACTCATTGCACTATATTTTTATCGAGACTGATAATTACAGCCAAGAATCATTTATCGTTTCAGACACAGAGCTCTAATAAACCGGTTGACGTCTAATCGTTTTTATGTGCATAAAGATAATATTACGTGTGCGGAGAGCGATTACAGAGGAGACGTAGCATAACTTCTGGAAGATTCTAGGGGATCAACTAGAAAACAAGTAATCAAGAAAACATAAATTAAAGTGGGGGTGACATAAAATAAATATACATATATACAAAATTACATTAATGACAAGAGTGATATCTACAACTGTTTTGGAGGACCTACCCTTTTCCCCAAACTTCAATTCCCAAAGATCAGCTTAATTTCCCACCTCAATATAAACCAAACATTTCTGGTCATTTCTTCCTAATTAAAACGAAAGCACATCTTCAATCAACGTCCACCACACACACACACACACACACACAAACACACTTCAATATTATATTCCCCGCCCCACATCTTCTTTTTAATCCATTTTTATTCCCATCTTGATTCTTATTAACTGAGTCCTTGCTTTAGGTTAATTTTGCATGTATTAATTATCTTAAAAAGTTGGATTGTATTGATATCTTTTTTAGTCCCTCAAATTCAACCTCATTTTAATTTTGATTCTTAAATTTTAACTCAGTGACTTTGGTCTTGGAAACCTCACAATTCAAAGATAAAAAAAATCTTTAGGTGGAACTAAAATGAGGTCAAAATTTTAGGAAACAAATTAAAATTCATTGGTTTCAAATTTTAGTCATCAAAACTAAAACAAATTCAAACTTTAGAGACTGAAGATATAATATATACCGTTCTTGCTATAAAACCTGACTCTATAATTATATGAAATCGAGTTTTGTTTTTGGAGTGAAGAGATAAGATTTCATTTTCAATGTGAACTCACATGGATTATAATTATGACTTCAGAGTTTTGACATCTTTTCTCTGCAAACATGTCAAATGTATTAACTGCTTTGCTGCTAACTTCTTCTTAGTTCTCATCAGTGTGATCCTTCGTCGTCTAAAGGATGATTAATTCAGATAAGCACACATCCTCCATTATTTTTCAAGTTCAGCTAATCACCAATTATTTAATGTACACCTCGTCTTAATAATAAAAGAATGATTATATATCACTTTGTATCTTAGATCAAGAATTTTTTTTAACAGGCAGAGTATTTTTTTTATATAAAAATATTACTTCTTTGGCAAAAAAAATATATTTCAATTTACATAAAGTGGAGAAAATGAGAGTGATGATACGCATGGCACCTAATAAGACAGCGTGCTTAATTCATTAACTATTTAATTAGTTCATTTACAATGAAAGGGCAATAGATACAATAGGCCCAGAGGTGCACGTGTCGCATGAATGCCCTCTGACTATAACAAGACCAGATACAAAAGTCAAAAGTAGTCAGAACGGGGTTATTAGAGTTGGGGACGTAAATCTTATTTATAACTCGTTTCTAATATATTTTACACAAATAAAAAAAATCTTAAATTTTATTTTATTTAAAATTTAATAATTTTTTAATTTTAGACCTATTTAAATATATTATATCTCATGTAAAGAAAGTCAATATAATAATAAGCAGAAAGTAAAATTATATATCTATACAAAAAATTTCTCTCAGTGCTTTATAAATAGGACAAAAAAATCTTCTCTTTTTACCTTATAAATAGGATCAGAAGAGTACTAATTAAAGTCAGGGTATATATAGGGTACAAAATCCATAAACAACTATATATGTTTCTCTAAATTGTTTTTAATGTACAAATATCAATTTTTTTCTTGTTAATAGATAGTGTTATTTATATTAATTAGAGCATATAGGCTCCAA